AGCTACATTTCTCTTAATGAGCTATATGGGGACCTCGTCATTTGATACCACTGGTGTCACTAGGGAGGTGTGATGTCAGAAGCTTCAACCCCAAATTTTAGCAGAGCATTAATCAACAGTCAAGCCGATAGGCCAACAATGGTGCAAACACCAGCAAGATAACACAAAAACAGAAGCCAAATGTCCATTCCAGGGTTGTAAGCAGTTTACCAGAGTGTCCAGAGTACAAGGCTAAATCAGAATCCGTAGCTGAGGTCCAAGTTAAGTCCAGAGTTCATGTCATGGACTCGTATCTGGTGTGTTCAAGTCACCAGAACACCGTCATGCCATAAGTTCACAGCTAAAGTCAATGAATGAAAACAGAATGAAAACACCTGGGGCCTTGCATGGGAAAGAGCCTGATAAAATGAATTGGATCAGACTGGAAGACCTGGAAGCTGTACAGAGGAACCTTTGGGGTATTGAACTGAGAAGGGGTATTTTGGGGGGTATTGAACTGAGGTGTTACTTGTTGCCGGCTCTCTTCTCAGCTAATATCAAGGACCTGGGATGTCTCTTTTTGCAGGCCCACAAAAGCTGGAACAATGACTCTTCTTCAGCCTGCTCAAAGGGACTCGCTGCAGTACAAGTAGTAGTTCCTTCAATTGATGCTTCTTTAAAGCTTACCTGAGGCAGCTGCTTGGGCTCCAGCTTAACTGTTGAAACTTTCACCAGCATCTCCTCGCTTTCCAAGCTATCCATGACATGTGGAACAGTGTATTCCACTGCAGAACAGCTATTACAATCAGGAGGTTTTTCCTAATGTTCATGTGGAATCTCTTTCCTAATGTTCATGTGGAATCTCAGCTTGAATACACTGCTCTGTGTCCTAGTCTCTAGGGCAGCAGAAAACAAGCTTGCTTCCTCCTTAATGACATCCTATCAAATATTTAAGCATGGCTATCATGTCCTCTCTTAACCTTCTCTTCTCCAAGCTAAACATATCCAACTTCCTAAGCAACACAAATTCACCTCACTACAGGCAGGTTGTTTTAGTTGCTGCTGGTTTGGGATTTTTTAATTGTTGCTGATATTTGTCAAATGTTCTAGCATTTTATCTATATTGTAGTATGGTCTGATATAGGAAGAAGTCCATGGGCATGATACCTTACCATACTGTGTGATACCAACCACATTGTCACACAGTAAGACTACCATAAGAATATCTTTCAGCCGTCTCAATTTGGCAGGAACAGTTTAATCCTCCAACTTTTTATTTTTTCAGCTCTTAAAAATGTTTCAGTCTTTCCTTCTAATTTTTCCTTTGTCTTCAGCTCCCTTTGTTGCAAACTGAATTCAAAGTGCAAAAGTTGTCTGCACTCAGTTAATTCAGCGGGCAGTTGGAGACCGAAGAGTCATCCTATCTTCCACAATCCTGATTGAGTTTTGCAGACTCAGAGTTATGGCTTCCTTAACTGAGTCCAGTAGTCAATCTGTCTAGTAGTCAATCTGTTCACGAGGAACCCAATTTCAAGTCCCTGTTCGAACTCTTTCCCTTACATTCATATTCATTACATCTCCTTTCTCTGTGTGTGCCTGTCCTTTGTCCCCATGGCTAATAACAGCCTACTAAGAAAATCTGACCTTGAAACATCCTAAAGCATTTCAGCCAGATTCTATTTTCCTTCCCACATCCTGGAGTCCTCTGAAAAAAGGTCACCTTTGAAGGTTTTTTTTAACTAAAATGTGCTTTATTAAATCAACCTTTTTCCCAGCATCAGCGCTGGGCAAGTCACCAGGTTTCCCTTTACAGAGAGATAATAAAAAACATCTATTTATTAGAATCAATTACACTGCTGCTTACTCAACCTTTTGTTGTGTCACATTTCATCCTTGTCTCTTGATGCTATTTGCTTCGTGAATTCAGATTTCTTATGTAAGGTGGCAATCTCTATCTTCCATTTAACAGTGTGGACTTGGGTGATAGCTTTTCATCCCACCCACATTTATATTTCAAAAGCATGTTCCAGAGACATTATCTGGTGATTTACTGTGGAATCTAAAGTGAGGAGTAAAATCAAGTTATTATGTACAGTCATGGTCACAGAACATGGAAAAAATACAGTCAGCACTCATGTGCATGGGCTCTGCATCCATGGATTTAGTATCCACAGGGAATCCTGGAACCAAATCCCAGTGGGTAGCAAGGGCCCACTGTAGCAAAAAGATACAAATTCAGAAGAGGGCAACAAAGATAATTGAGAAGCTAAGGAGACATGAGATAAAATATATAGAGGAGTGCTGGCTCTTGAGCTTTGAAAAAAATGAGTGGGGCTATGATCCAGGTACATGAATAAAGAAAACAAGAGTAGTGAGTACACTTCTCCCTCTCTCATAATTTTAGAATCCAAGGTTATCTAGTGAACTTGAATGATAGGTGATTCAGGACACATGAAACTGAGTACTTCATTATGCAGTACATAGCCAAATTATGTCATTTGCATGAGAGGCAGTAATGGAATTTCATAGCTTAAAAAGAATGTAGACACTTCCAGAGAGAATTAAATTAACAACAGCTAGTAGTCATGGTGGCCTCGGACCATCCCTAGTATCAGGGACATTTCAACTCTCAATGCCAATATTTATAGCCACTTTGGGTCTCGATCAAGAAGGAAAAGTCTTGTATGAATAAATATAAGAATATGAATACCAGCAGTTGGGAAATATGAGCAAAAAGATGGTATTGCACTGTTGGTTTCCTTGCTCTGGTCCCTAGAGGCATTTGGTAGGCCTCTAGGAAAAATGAATGCAAGTGCACATAGATCTTCCTATGTTTTTTTGTGCTGTATCATCTAGACAAACACATGGCATGACATGACACCATTGTCATGTCAGTTGCTCCTGTATGCAGTCAATGGTCCATCCCAAAAATGGCTCTCCATTCCACCCCGGTCTAATAGACAGTCAGCCCCTCACATTTGCTGAGGTTAGGACTACAGGACTCCTACAAAAATGGGGAAAAGCATAAATAAAAACACATTTTTTAAAAAAATATATCTTTAGCAATCTCTAGATCCTTCAGCACAACTGCAGACTCACATTGGAAAACCTAGATTCCTAGAGAGGGCATACTAATCAAATCCAATGCTTTCATGCTACACAGTGTTAGCACTATGATTGCATTTTAAGTACTTTAGTTCTATCCAATGGAATTCTGGGATTTGCACTCTACACTCTAGGAAGGGGCAATTGGATTCTCAGCCAGAGAGCTTAAATATCTTCCCAAACTACAAAGCCCATGATTCCACCAGAACTGCCACAGCAGTTAATGAAGAATCAGAACATGGTAACTGTGTAGTGTGAGAGGGCCCTTAGTGTGATACAACTGCTCTCTTTCTGTGATCCATTCTTGATTATCTGCCTTGATATTCTGGGTTTTACGGCTGTGTGGAAGAGGCCTTTGATTTAAAACTTTGACAATCTTGAATCTATACTCAACAGGATGTTTACTGTATACATATTTAAAACAAGCATATTTCTCCATTTAGGAACAATTTCAAGAGTTACAAAAATGTAAGCAAGTAAAACAAAGAAGAAAACAAACATTTCCACCTTAAAATGTCCCCCTTCTTTGCAACCCAGTTTTAGATTCTGCCTTTTTAATGCACACTCAAATGCAAATCACTGGACCATTTTTTAATACAAACTGCCTGGAAGATTTTCATTTCAACCTGGTGGCTGACCTAGTAAACCATTTGCATGCTTCCACAGCTTTGATCTAGTAAACCATGACCATGATCCAGACTATCCAGTGCAGTGAAATTACCTTCTTCTCACTTATATTTCACATTACTTGGCAAATAGCTCAAGAAAGTCCTAGGAGAATAAAGTTCCCTTCATGTTCGTTGCTTTTCGAATTCTGCTTTGATGTTACCCAATGAAACTGGAACTTCCTGTTGTTGTTCATTCGTTCAGTCGTCTCCGACTCTTCGTGACCTCATGGACCAGCCTACGCCAGAGCTCCCTGTCGGCCGTTACCACCCCCAGCTCCCTCAAGGTCAGTCCAGTCACTTCAAGGATGCCATCCATCCATCTTGCCCTTGGTCGGCCCCTCTTCCTTTTGCCTTCCACTTTCCCCAGCATAATTGTCTTCTCTAGGCTTTCCTGTCTCCTCATGATGTGGCCAAAGTACTTCAACTTTGTCTCTAGTATCTTTCCCTCCAGTGAGCAGTCGGGCTTTATTTCCTGGAGGATGGACAGGTTGGATCTTCTTGCAGTCCAAGGCACTCTCAGCACTTTCCTCCAACACCACAGCTCAAAAGCATCGATCTTCCTTCGCTCAGCCTTCCCTAAGGTCCAGCTCTCACATCCGTAGGTTACTACAGGGAATACCATGGCTTTGACAAGGCGGATCTTTGTTGCCAGTCTGATGTCTCTACTCTTCACTATTTTATCGATACTGGACATTGCTCTCCTCCCAAGATGGAACTTCCTATTGCATAGTAAATCTATATTAAATTCAATTCCAGATGAAATTCAAGGGAGAGTGACAAAAATGTGCTACTGGTTTGCAACAGGAAGAGAACTGATTTGGGGAGGGCATTAGGAGCCACCTTGAGACTTTGGAACAATCCCAGCAGTGCTTCCAAACATAAGGCTGATTTCTGTCACAGAGGTTAACAGTTAATTTGGACTAAAATACAATGCAAATAAAGAGGTAAAACCTAGACAGCCCCAAGAACAATAAAACATACTTATCTACATATTTCTACCCAGTGCTTTCCAAATTTCGGTTCTTCGGCTGTTTTGGACTTCAAGTCCTGGAAGTCCCAGCCAGGTTGGTTAATAGTCAGAATAGTTAATAGATTTTTCCCCCCATCCATTCAAAAATGTAGAGCATATTTCCCAATTAAATTGCTATGAATTTAGTTAACTAACTAAGTTCCATTTCATTACTTTCAACTGACCAGTTTGGACTAGATTGTGTTTCTTTCCACCAACAATTATTTGAGTCAACGAGCTTTTTAAAAAAGCAAGCATTCTTTTTATTTGCTTTTAATCCAGCATCCATTTGTCCCCAATTTTCACATAACTGTTTAGCGCACAAACCCTATAAAATTCAAAACTATGTTGACACTCCTATTGCAAAAGGTTTGTCTGGGAAATGGCAAAAGGCCATGGAATGGCCAGCTCCACATCCAATGTAAAGCAACTTTGCTGAACCAAGGACTTCTACGGGTTGCGGGGTACAAACGTTTGCTTCTGTTCCATTGCCACACATCCCGTGTTCATTCCACCCCCAGGAAAAACACTGGCCACCTAGGAAATAAAGAGAAATATTGTACTCAGAACATTAAAATGATTAATATGGTTCTTTATTCCCAAAATCAGTTCAAATTAAAAAGAAGCAACAACATTGCTAAAGCACTGTAGTTTTATGTACTTGTTCATGCTTTTAATAGGATAGCTTCATCCAACTCTGTATTTACTCTGTTGTGAACCTATTTTGTTTTTTCTGTTGTTTTTAAACCTTTCCTCCTCCCAACCATCTTGCTGTGCTGACTTCTTGTCCTTTGGGTTGGAGACATTCATATAGCTCTGTTCTTCCCTCCTATTACACAGTTTTTCTATTTTTTCTTCAGGCCTAATAATTATTATTTATTGATTCCCTACAAAGATTCTTATAGATTATATTATGAAGCCATCTATAAAGACTTTTCCCTCTTTATTTTTGATATTTTTTTCTTTGTTTATTGTTGCTAATTTGTCAATTTCTGTTCTTTTTAACAATCCATTCTTCTGTTGTTGGGAGGTCTGTTTTGTTCCAAAGTTGTGCATACAGTGTCTATGCTGCTATTATCATGTAGTGCAAAACTTTGTAGTATAGTGCTTTTGTTTGTTTATTTTACATTCCCAATAAAAATAATTCAGGCTCCAATTGTATCTTTGATTGAAATATTTCTTGCAGTGTTTTTTTAGCTTTTCCCAGAATTCGCTTGCTTTTTTACAGGACCATCACATGTGGAAGAAAGTTCCCTTTTCTTCTTTACTTTTCCAGCACTTGTTGTTTCTTCCCTTGTACATTTTAGCAACTTTTGCTGGAGTCAGCTACCACCTGTTCATCATTTTATAAAAAAATTCTCTAAGGTCATAGCACAGAAGTTTCTTTAAGTTAACAGACCACATTTTCCCCCATTTATCTAATTCTATGTTGTGTCTGACATTTTGAGCCCATTTAATTGTGTAAGCCTTATTTTGAACATCGTTCTGATTCCCTTTTACCATCACTGTGCAGTTGCAATGACTTAGGGTGCATCTATATTGTAGAATTAATGCAGCCTGGGAACACTTTAACTGGCTCAATGCTATGGAATCTTGGGATTTGTAGTTTGATTGGGCACCAGCGCTTTTTGGCATAAAAGGTCAAACAACAATTTGCATGTTTCCACAGCTTTGATCTACATTTCCATAATTTTTAGTCATGGCAATTAAAGTGGCATCTAAATGCATTGATTCTACAGTGTAGATGTGCCCTTAAAGTGCCCCCCTATCCTATTTATTTTATTTATTTACCTTATTTATATCCTGTCTTTCTCTACCCTAAGGGGGACTCAAGGCAGCTTACACATGGCACTTACACGGTGTCTTAAAACATACAATGTTAACTTAAAAATAAATTGAATTAAAATTTATACATATTAAACATAATTAAAATTGCCTTTGAAACCTTCCATAAACACACCCCAAAACAACCATCTCCAAGGTGTTGAAAGACAGGATGATGAGTGATGGCACAAGCTGTTCTGAGACATACATTGGCAACAAGATCTCAACAGGAACCCAACAAGAACCTACAGCTATCTATCTCCATGTACCCTGCCACTGTGACAGGGCTGGACACATCACTACTCAACTGTGGTGGCATTTCATAATGATTATTCAAAAAAGATAATCACATCAGAAGTGACTTGCAGTCCAAAATAACTTGAAGGCAATAACAATCTCCTAACTGTGCTTGCCACTGTCATTTGCTTTTTATTGTTTTTACTCAAGAACTAACTTTGTTTATTATTGATATTTGGGGCGTTGAAATTCAGTACAGGATTCTCCATCTCATAAAAGGGGCAGATGTCAAAGGAACTGCTTTAGTCTGGAAAGTTACAGTTCAGATTTTCGATATTATTCTGTTTCTTTTGGTGTCAATGATCAAAGAAAACCTCATTTTCAAATGGAATGACACTCTTCCTTCACCCCCACCTGTTTAAATCTATGCCAGAGGAGTTGAATGACACTTAGTAATGATAATACAGTATCAAGCAGATACTGGGGGAAAAGACAACCTTTGTTTAGCTTGAAATGTTCTCATAGGTTCAAACAGAAAAAAAGCATCTTAAATGTATAAATATCATTAGATCTAAAATCAGCCAGTAAATCATTGACCTGAAACTATCAACTTAATATTAAGAATTCAGCTCTGCACCTGTAGGACATATTTTCTAGTTATTTTCCTAGTCTTTGGGTGTGTACTATGAGTTTGAAAAAAAACTAGCTTCCTGCCTTTATAGCTAAAGTAGAGAAAGTGTGGCTGAGGGCTGTTTTTGTGGGCCCTCCAGAATATAACTTTCCCCCCTCTGATCCCCTGTAGAGGTGTGGAAGGCATTTCTGTCATGTTTTAGGTCTGCCCAGGGCCATTTTTTAGCTCAGCAAAGACCTTTTTATAACAGGAAGCGGAAGTTAATACCTATCCCCTGCGGGGGTTAGAAGAGCGAGGTAGAAAGGCTGTAAATAAATAAATAAATATCCACCTCTTTTCAAAAACAGCCACTCCTGGGTCTAAACTGGCTGGGGGAAGGGGGCACAAACATGGCAAGAATGCCCTCAAACAATACTTAGGATAGTTTATGGGTATTTTAGGGCAAAATTGATTTTGTCTATTTTTGAAAAAAAGAGTGGTGGGGTAAGTGTGACTCTCCAAGACTGGGACGGGGTGGGTGGGTAATATAGCTTTCAAAAGATCCCTAGTTTAATTCTCCTTTGTTCTACCTCCTTCAACGGATCTCTGCTTAAAATCTCTGTAAACAAATTGCTACATCCTCTTTACTCAACTCCCTTCAACAGATCCCTGATATAAACCCTCTTTGCTCAATCTCTGTAAACAAATGCTTCCTTTAAATCCTCTTTACTCAACCATCTTCAACAGATCCTTCCTTTAAATCCTATTTGATCAATGCCATTCAACAAGAAATTTTCTTGATTCTTCTATAGGTTCTAACCCAGTGGTTCTCAACCTTCCTAATGCCGCAACCCCTAAATACAGTTCCTCATGTCGTGGTGACCCCAACAATAAATTATTTTTGTTGCTATTTCATAACTGTCATTTTGCTACTGTCTCTTTTAAATGGTCTTTTAAGTTATGACGATGTTTTAGTTAATGTTTATCTGACTTTTTAATTATTGTTGTTGGCATCTAATGGTTACCAGTTATAAGCCTCCCTGAGTGCCCCCCCCCCCCGGATGAGAAGGATAGGATATAAATGTCCTAAATAAATAAATAAATACTGTTATGAATTGTAATGTAAGACCCCCACGAAACTTGGCATACAGATTGGCCATGACAAACAGAAAATACTGGCAGGGTTTGGGAGGAATTCACAGGGATTTAGGGGAGATGCAGTTCACCTACATCCCGGAGAGCACTGTGAACCCAAACCACTATGGATCTGGACCAACCTAGGCACAAATACTCAATATGCCCAAATTTGAACACTGATGGGGTTTGGGGAAAATAGACCTTGACATTTGGGAGTTGTAGTGCTTGGATTGATAATTCACCTACAATCAGAGCATTCTGAATTCCACCAATGATGATATTGAACCAAATTTGGCACACAGAACTCCCATGACCAACAGAAAATACTGGAAGGGTTTGGTGGGCATTAACCTTGGGTTTTGGAGTTGTAGTTCACCTACATCCAGAAAGCACTGTGGACCCAAACAGTGATGGATCTGGACCAAACTTGGTAAGAATACTCAATATGCCCCAATGTGAACACTGGTGGAGCTTTGGGAAAATAGACCTTGACATTTGGGAGTTGTAGTGCTTGGATTTATAGTTCACCTACAATCAGAGCATTCTGAACTCCACCAATGATTCAACTGAACCAAACTTGGCACACAGAACTCCCATGACCAACAGAACATACTGGAAGGTTTTTGGTTTTTGGTTTTTGCTCCTGCAGTCACTCCAGAAGACTATTATTATTATTATTATTATTATTATTATTATTATTATTATAAAACTCAGTTGGAAGGAAACTCCAAATCCTGCCTCCATCTTTCTGCCAGGCAAGAAGATAGAATTACTATTCTATTATTATACATCATCATCATCATTATTATACATTACACAGTATACAAATATGTGGAATTAATTAATTGTGTGCATGTATTTTGGATTAGGAGTCTGGAGACTTGGATTCTAATAAATGGCAATGGAGTGCCACTGGATGACCTTGAGAAAGACCCACTTTCTCAACCTCAAAGAAGGCAAAGGCAGACTCCTTCTGAAAACATCTTGCCAAGAAAATCCAATGCTAGGTTCATCCTAGGGCCCTTCCAGATGGGCCCTATATCCCAAGATCCGATCCCAGGTTATCTGCTTTGAACTGGATTATATGTGTCTGCACTGCCAGATAATCTGGGATAAACAGAAAACCTGATATCAGATCTTGGGATATAGGGCCAGTCTGGAAGGGCCCCTAGACTCCTTATACACTGTCCTTATATACCAGGATCTGATCCCAGGTAATCTGCTTTGAACTGGATTATATGAGTCCACACTGCCAGATAATCTGGGATAAACAGAAAACCTGGGATCAGATCTTGGGATATAGGACCTGTTTGGAAGGGTCCCGAGGCTCCTTCATCATCATCATCATCATCATCATCATCATCATCATCATCATCAGACTAAGGCAGTTGGAAGGGAACCCCAAAGGCAATCTAGTCCTGCCCCCTTCTGTCTGCCAGGCAGGAAGATAGAATTACTATAATATCATTATACATTATTATTATTGTTGTTATTGTTGTTGTTATTGTAAGACTCAGACAGGTGGAAGGGAACCCCAAAGGACATCCAGCCCAGCCCCCTTCTTTCTGCCAGACAGGGAGATAGAATTACTGCAGGAGCAACAACAATAATGATAATGATATTAACAGTAAGTAAAGCTTATGACAGGCTCTCCCATCCTTTCTGCTCCAAATAATAATACTAATACTACTAATAATAGTAGTAGTCTCCTGGATTCACTGGATGGGTT